GTTTGATTTCCATGAAAGCGGATCCTCAGGAAGCTCGACGCTGTGCGAGGGTTGCCTTCCCCAGATTTGTTTCTTGATTTCCTCGGGTAGCGGCTGAAGGCTGGGCCACTGCCAGCGCGGCCTGTTCTGTCCCGAAGTGTGAGGCGGAGTTGGGGATTTCCTACTCAGTAGTTTGGATCAGGCAGCAAGCGTCCGGGGCGCCTGGTACCCCCCCCTTCCTCTGAGGCCGCGTGGGAGATGGCGGAGGACAGACGTCGGCCAGCAGCTGACTTCCATTGGTCACGTCTGTTCTCCGGCCACATGTTCCGATTGTGATTGAGAAAATGCCGCCCCACGGACGTCCTGTGTGTGGGCGGGACTCCACCCGCATGTTTCTGCTGCGGTGACTCTGCCCGCCTCTCCGGCAGCGCGGCCTCAGCCGTGGCGAAGACACAAATGAAACCGCTTGGCATGAGAGACCCTCTGAGGGAGGGCAGGCGAGGGAAGAGGGGGTTGTTTCCCGTGGCACCTGCCAGCGGCTTTAACTTGCGTTGACCTGTAGCTGGAGGGCCGGCCGGCCGGCCTCTGCGGGCCATGGCGGGGTGGGGGGGAATCTCATTACCAGGCAGACGCTCGGGTCGTAATTCACATGGGGTCTGGGCTCCTCTGTCCCTTATGGACACCCCAGGCGGCCCGAGGAAGAGCTGCTGCATCGCTGGAGGGAGCAGCCTTTATTCTATCCCTAGAGGCCTGGTGCATGACATGTGCAGTGGGGGTCCCTCAGCCCGGCCTGGGCCCTCTCACAGTCCGGGAGCCCTCGGGGGATGTCTGGCTGATGGGCCTAAGCTGCCAGTCGGACATCCTTAGCACTGCCACAGAGGGGGGAGAGGCTCCTGCCACCGCCACCACCGCTGCGCTCGCCAGCCGTGAGCCTGGCTTCTGGCTGAGCGGCGCTCCTCCTGCCTGAGTATCTGCCCCCTGGTGATCAGTGCGCATCATAGCAACCGGTTCTGCCGTCAGTTGATTTGCATGTTAGCCTTTTATTATATAGGATGTTTCACAAAGGACTTGAGGCAGCTTCCCGACCATTGATCCCTGCCATGGCCATCGGTGGTCATGCCTGGTTTCCGCCCAGTGGGACAGGGTTCGTTCTAATTCATTTCTCCTGCCCCTCGGAGCGCGGGTGGACTTGGGCCGGACTGAATCCCAGTCTGGGGAACCTTTACCAAATCTCTCAAGTCCCCAGGTTTTTTCAACTTTGGAGGGACCGGGATGAGTAAGATGGTATCAAATGGTTTTTCTGTTTTGCAATTTCCTTATAGTTTTTTGTGTGTGGTTTTTTTGTTGTTTTTTTCAAAGAACACCTTCTTTTACTTCAAAAGTGATAGGAACAGCCTGGCCAGCGTGGCTCAGGGGTTGAACGCCAACCTATGAACCAGGAGATCAGGGTTCGAGTCCAGTCAGGGCACATGCCCAGGTTGCAGGCCCCATCCCCAGTGTGGGGCGTGCAGGAGGCAGCCCATCCGTGATTCTCTCTCATCATTGATGTTTCTATCTCTCGCTCTCTCTCCCTTCCTCTCTGAAATCAAGAAGAAGAAATTTTTAAGTGACAGGAACAGTTTAGTCCTTGCCAGCAGCCCTGGCCATGAACTTCATCCGTAAACGCCGTCACTGGGTGTTGGTATCATTTTCTATTTGGTTTCTGAGAAGTTTCTCTTAGGACACAGCCACCTTCAGACTCAGAGGTCGCCCACCGCGAGGGGATGTCTGCCCGTCCGCTGGCCCTGCTCCGGGCCGGCCGGCTCCGGGGGCTTTAACTTGTGCTCTGGACCAAGCCGGGCAGCGGCCTCGCTGGGGCCTCGGGCGGCCCATGTCCCGTTTGAGGCGGAGTGTGTCCCTAGGGCTGGGGGCCGGGGGCTGTGCTCCCCTCTCTGACCTGCAGTTGTCATTTGCATCCCGAACACTCAAGGCCAGGCGGGGGCAGAGGAATGGAAGCAGCGGCTCACTGCGGGGACCCCTCACCGTTGGGCCCCCCGCCTGCATGTGCACCACGCGGGGGCCTGCCCGGATCTCCGCTCCTCTCCATAAACTCCGCCCCGTGTCCCAGGTCCGCCCCGTGTCCCAGGCCTGTGCCTGGACCAGGAAAACTCTGCTCCGGTCCTGCAGGGGCGCCCCCTTCTGGTGGCTGCTGGTTCTGTCCTCTTCTCTGCTGCCATTTACATATTTACATTACATTCTCTGTGCTCTCCCGGAGGCACCGGCACCGGCACCGGCACCGAGGTGGCCTGTTCTCCGCCCAGTTTCTTCTCCTAAATCCCAGGCAGACGCCGTGCACGGCCGATGCCTGTCGACCCCGGGGAGTGGGGGTTAATGGATGGGACGGAGAGTTGGGGGGGGGCTGGGTGTGCCGTGTGCAGTGACGCTGGACTGACCCCTGGCTGCGCTGGTGGGACGTGCTCCTAACACCGCATTTCACGTGTGGGGAATGGCTGAGCGCTGTGTGAAAAGGGAGGGAGAGGGGCCACAGCCCCCCTTGGCCGCAGGCTGTGACTCGTCTGCAGTCGGCCCGGGGTCAGGGGTGGGGCGGGGAGTCACGTGCCTCCTCCAGGGTCTCATCAGCCAGTGTGGTGTTGCCATGGGCCAGTTTTCCCACTGACACACGGACTCAGGCAACGTCGCTCCCACTGACCACCCTTTCCACGCCCAGAAACCCGCCCGTGGAGGGCGGCCGAGGTGGACAGCCACGGGGGCCTTCAGAGCCACACGCTTCCAAATGGAGCTAAACAAATGCTCCTCCAAACGAAACGAGGACAGAAATGACCAGATCGGCCCTGGCCGGTGGGCTCAGTGGATAGCGCGTCCGCCTGCGGACCCAAGGGTCCCGGGTTCGATTCCGGTCAAGGGCATGTTTCTCAGTTACAGACTCCTCCCCGGCCCAGGCCCTGGTCGGGGCACGGGCAGGACGGAACCAAGCGATGTGTGTCTCTCACATCGATGTGTCTGTCTGTCTCTCCCTCTCTCTTCCACTCTCTGAAAATCAATGGAAAAATACCCTCGGGCGACGATAAAAAACAAACACTCCGATCTGCCTCCATTCGAGACTCGGCAGGCGTGGGCTGGGGTGCAGCGTCGTCCCATCGGGTTTTAGGGAAGCGGAGCCGCTGGCGGAGGCCCTCGGGTCTCCCACACTGCGCCTGCGTCCTGGCGTCTGATAAAAGGCCGAGATAGCAGCCACCAGACCCGCTTGGCTCTGGGCCGGGAGCCGGGAGCCCGGAGGCCTCCGCCAGCCCCTTTGCCCACGCAGGTGCCAGAGGATAATCCCCATCGGTTGTGCCCGCGCCCCCTGCCATCAGTCTGAGCGCCTTCTCATCCGTGGGGCGTTCGCTGTTTCAAAACCACACTACGGGCCCTTCATGACGGATGAATGCGACCCCCTCCCAGGATTGACGTGAGCTTTTTTTTTTTTTAATTAAAAACCATCCCGCAGAGAGAAGCCGCTCACCCAGCCGATGTCTCCATCTCCAAATCAGCCCTGTACTCCCGCATCGGGGCCACGGAGGCGGAGAAGGCCCCCGGCCTCCTGTTCCAGCCGCCGGACCTGGACGCCGCGCTGCAGGTCGCCCGGGCAGAGGTACGCGGCGGGCAAGGCCAGGCTGGGGCCCCGCGTCCGCCCCGTGTCAGTAAACACATGTGCCCACGCCCGCCTCTGGACCCCGCCTTTCCCTCTGACCACTGCAGGCACAGGAGGCGCAGGCTGTGGGTTTTGATCTTCTTGATGCGATTGCTTCTCTTGTTTTGTTTTTCAAATAGATTTTTATTGATGTCAGAGAGGAAGGGAGAGGGCAAGAGAGAGAGACACATCCGTGATGAGAGAGAATCATGGACCGGCTGCCTCCTGCACGCCCAACACTGGGGATCGAGCCCGCAACCCGGGCCTGTGCCCTGACCGGGAATCGAACCGTGACCTCCTGGTTCCCAGGTCGACGCTCAGCCCCTGAGCCACGCCGGCCGGTTCCACGCGGTTGTTTAACGAGCCTTTATGGTCGTTTGATTTGTAACGAAAAGCACCGCCTTCTGGTTGCTCCCAGTGGCCGTGGTGAAGGCTGGTGTCTGGCCTCCTCCTGCCTCGTGCTCCGGGGACTCTCGGGAAACAGTCACTTGACGTAGGACATTTCATTCCACGGTGATTCGTCCGCGTCCCGTCTGGGAGCTGCTTGGGTCTGAACGCCCTCAGGGGGCCCACCGTCCCCTCTTCTCTCTGGTGCTAGGTCCTCGCCAAGGAGAGAGAGGTCTCTGAGTGGAAGGAGAAGTACGAGGAGAGCCGGCGCGAGGTCATGGAGATGAGGTCAGTGGCGGCCCCGGACAGGGTCCTCCCCACACACGGCCCTCCGTCCCAGGTTCAAGTTCCACCGTGTGTTCCCTGTCTCGCTCGGATTGGAGGAGCACGGGCAGGAGGTGCCCGGTGCGATCACACGCACACAATGAGAGCTCTCCTCCCCCCTCGCGGCCCCAGCTCCACGCCCCGCAGGCAGCCGCCGGCACCGTTTCCGGGGAATCCTTCTAAGCATTTTCCATTTCTCACGGCAAACGTGCCAGTGATCTGCAGAGTGGACGGCCCCTTGCGCTGTTGTGACTTAGCGTGTCCTGGACAGATTCAGATAAAACGGCTGGAGTTCTGAGGAGAAATCAGGGAGGGCTGCTGGAGGAGGCGGCGTTTGCCCTGGGCCTCAGGGAACAGAGAGGCTGGGAGGTGGGAGTAGGAAGGGAAACGCACAGCACGGCGAGGCACGGGGGTGAGGAAGCCCGAGGAAGCCTTCTGTTCTCACTGGGCCGCTGTGCGGTGAGCTGGCGTGGAAGGCGGTCAGATGGGGGAGGAGCCGGGCAGGCGGCTGAAGGCCCTGGTGGTCAGGCTAAAGGTGTGGCCTTTAGGTTCTTCTCAGTGGGTGGTGGGGAGACCTGGAAGGCCTTGCACAGGGCGTGGTGTGAGCAGCCTCAGGCACGAGGAAAGGAGCCCGTGGGGTGGAAGGCGAGGGCAGCGGCTGGAGGTGGCCCGGACGGGTGAGCCCAGGCGTGTCCTCCGGCCCTCGGTCCGGCTGCCCACGTCCAGCACGCAGCCCCGTGTGAAATAACCCGTTCTGTGCTGTTGTCACGGTGCCGACGCGTGTCCACTTCTCTCGCAGGAAGATCGTGGCCGAGTACGAGAAGACCATCGCACAGATGATAGGTGGGTGTCCCGCCCCGGGGCTCCCCCGGACCCCTCAGTCGGGCGTCCCTGGCTCTGCCCTGGCCGAGGGCCTGGTGCCTCCTGGACACACCTCCCGGAGGCCCCTCACCCTTGCTCAGGCCCGTGGGGGCCGTGGCGTCACCTCCATGGCCATCGCGGGACCGGCCTGACGGCCCACCTCCTGGGGAAGGGATTCGGGCTGGTTCCTGGGATGTTGGGGCTTTGGCTCCTGGGAGAGACGAGGAATCCAGTCTAAACCCCGAGGTCGCTCAGCCTCACCTGCCCCTCGGCCTCACCCGGGGCTGGACAGGCTGGGGAGCTGTGGCCGCCTGCCCGTGGCTTCCCTCGTGATGTGGGCGCCTGGTATCTGACCAACACTGTCTCTCTCGCGGGCACGGCCGCGCCCCCAGGGCGTCCCAGCACAGCCTCCCGGCAGCCAGCGCCGGGGCCGCTTCGGCCTGCGAGGAGCCAGGCCCCCCTGTGAGTTGCACATGGCTGGTCTCTGTCTTCATTAACGAGGGGAGGTCTGCAGAAGTTCCAAGCCCAGTGTCTACACGAATGGTCACTTCTCAAGGGGGTCGTGTTTTGTTTATTTGTTTATTGGCTTAGCTCCATGTGACCAGTTTTTAAAAAAATCTTTTCCACCCTGGCCGGTGGTTCGGTGGTTAGAGCGTCCGCCCCCCACACCGAAGGGTCTCGGGTTTGATTCCCGGTCAAGGGCACAGGCCTCAGTTGCAGGCTCGATCCCCAGCCCCGGTCGGGGCACGTGTGGGAGGCAACCAATTGATGTCTCTCTCACATCGATGTTTCTCTCTGTCTCTCCTCCTCCCTTCGCTCTCTTACAAAATCAATCGAAAAATATCCTTGGGTGGATAACAAAGGATTAACAAAACGTAAAAATCTTTTCCTCCTGCGGACGTGGAGTGACCCCGCTCCCCGAGCACCACCGTCCCTGTCCACGCTGAACTCTGAGCCTCTCTCTCAGCGTCTGGGTGTCATTCACGCCGCACCCCGCGCCTCCCCGGGGGTCACTGTCAGAGGAGCCTGGGGCGATGGCCAGGCTGACGGGTGCGCGTTCCAGTCGAAGGAGCTGTGGTTTGGGTTTATTGTAGGAAAGGCCGTTTCTCCCGGAGCTGGAGGGGGGGGGACGGGGACGGACGGACTGGGGGAGGGGCCTTGTGGGTATTTCTAGGCTCCGCCCCTGGTGCCTGCTTTCTATCAGATGAAACCTGTTTCTGAGATTGGAGGGAGAATTTACGAATCCGTGTGGATCGGATAGAACACAGGCCTCGGCACTGAGACTGCTGGTGAACGGCCGGGTGAGGGTTCACGCCTCCCGGTGCCCGGCCGCTGAGCGCAGCCTCTGGCCCCGATCGGATGGGAAGGCGGCTCTAGGCCCCACGGCCTCGCCTGGAGGTGCTCCGGGGTTCTGGGTCACGCCTTCTTCTGCTCTTGGGGTGACGTGGAGGCCAGGGTTGAGCTGGCAGGGAAGGCTGCTCAGCCATCTTTTATTGCTTAGCTGTTTGTTGTTTTTTTTAGATTTTTTAAATTGATTTAAAGAGAGAGAAGAAGAGAGAGGGAGAGAGAGAAACATCACTGATGAGAGAGAATCATGGACGGTCACCTCCTGCAGGCCCCCGACTGGGGATGGAGCCTGCGACCGGGCTGTGGCCTGACCCCCGGGAATCGAACCGTTAACCCTTCGCTGCACAGGCGGCACCCACCATGCGAACCCCCGCTTCCTCCTGGGCAGCGTTGTCGCGGGGGTGGGTCTCACCGTGTCCCTTCCGCACGCCTGTCCTCGCTCCTCCACGGACTGTCCCCTTTGTCCCTCACCTTCCAGAGCTGGTGTCCCGTCTCAGGGAGGCGGCCGTCTGTGCTGTCCCATGTCCCTCTGCCCCAGGCCACTGACCGGGGCCCCTGGATCCCCGGGCCGGCGTGTGCTGGCAGGAGACGAGGACGGAGGGCTGAGGCTCGGGCCGGCCACGCGTCTCCCCGCGGGGGGAGCCCACACCCACGGTGGCACCTGGTCCCATGTTGTCTCCTTGCTTGCGTTCACCTAACCAGCACTGCTCCTGAGGGGAAGCGGGTCCAGAGAGCTGGGCCGGTCAGAGCGAGCAGAGTCACGTCCTGAGTTAAACCAGCGTCCACCCCAGGCTGGCCCTTCCTGCTCCGTGGCCCCAGTTTAACGGTCCCGGAGGCTGCACACACCATCCCCCCCATCGGTCCCTCCATCCTGCTGTCCCCACCGTGTGCTCCCACAGGGGTCCCCGAGCTCAGGGGTGGGGGCCTGGGGTTCAGGGCGGAAGGAGCCTCCGAGCCTGCGTTGGGGGTGCACTCGGGGTTGCTTTTCTAACCGCCCTGACCATGTTTTGCTTCCGTTTTCTGTTGCTTCTGCCCTTTGCTTGCAAACCGCACAGGCAAGCCCGGTGAGTACCTGCTTCCCGGATGTGACGCCCCCCCGGCACCCGCGTGTCCGCTTTCCCGCGTTCGTTCCTTTTGCTTCTGCGTGTTGGCTGCGTCCCCCCCCCCATTTCATTGCGTTTTGCCTGGAAAAAGCCAGAGGGTCCCCAGGGACGGGGTTGGGGGCGGAGTCCCGGGCTGGGGACTGGTTTCCTGATCTGAGGAGCCAGCACTGCACTTGCGATTGTAGGACAAAAGCGGGGGGCGGTCCGCCGCCTGGGTCTCCCTGAGCCGGAGGTTCTGCTTTTACGAGGGGCGGGCGGGGGGAGGGAACCTGGAAATCTGGGCCCCTGTGTGATAAGCTCCCCACACAAGGCCCGTGCAGCGCACACACGCCCCACACCGGCCGGCATGGGTGCTGGACGGGGCGCGGGGACCCCGGCTTTGAGGCCGCTGAACTCAACGAATGAGAAGCACGCGGCTGCTGGCGACTCGGGAAATGCCTTTCCCTGCGTCTCCGTGTGGCGAGCAGGTCGCTGGCGGCTCTGTCCTGGCTAAATGTTCGCTCCCCTTCGTGGGTCCCGGCCCCCGACATGGCGCCGGTTCCGGGGCGGTGATGCCTTCGGGCCCTGAGCGGGTTCTCGGGGTCGGAGGCCTCGTGCGTGTCTGGTTTGCTCGTCCCCGGGGCCGGGAGGGAAGCGATCCCTCCTCCAGGAAGGAGGCTGAGACCGAGGCTGGGGCCCGGCCGGGGTCACAGCGGGAGCTAGCAGCTCCCGGCACGCCCGGGGCCCGGACTCTGCGGCTCTTCACTGCCGCGCGGTGGGCGCTCCGAGGCCAGGCCAGAGGGGACATCGGGCACCTTCCGGGCCTGGGATCCCGGGTGTGCTCCCCCCCTGGGGACGTGCCACAGACAGATGCCAATTCTCCCTCCTCCCCGCCCCCCCCCTACGGCCTTTGGTGCATAACTGAGACTCGTTCTGACAGCAGTAGCTCCCTGAGAGGTTTTCAGGGACGCGACCTTCGCCTCTTTCTCTTAAAAATATGTCTGGACTGATGTCAGAGAGGAAGGGGGACGGGGAGAGAGAGAAACATCGATGATGGAGAAGAGAACCATGGGATCGGGCCGCCTCCTTGCACGCCCCCCCACTGGGGAAGGGAGGCCCTTCAACCCCGGGCCTGTGCCCTGACGGGAATCGAACCCTGACCTCCTGGGTCATAGGTTGAGGCTCAGCTCTGAGCCCGCCGGCCGGGCCCGTCTGTTTATCGTGACCACACTCAGGAGGGCCCGCCCCTCCCCAGCCCAGACTGCGGGACCCGTCACTCTTCCCACCACACCGCTCAGCGGGGATGTTCTCTCTCTTACCTGTGGGTCTGTTTGAACCACTGGCGTCTCCTCCGTAGATTTTCCCCATCAGCGCAAAGAACGGTGGCTAACACCCCGTCCCCGTCCCCGTCCCCCGTGTGATACTGCGCCCGTCCAGGCCCCGGAGGCAGGGCCCTGGGGTTGGTTCCTGGCGAGTCCGGGGGCTCAGAACAGGGTCTCGCTGAGCCCGAGCTGCCCGCTGGTGAGGCTGAGGCCTGGGCGCGACGCCAAGCCCCGGTCTCCGGGGGCCCCATGGCTCCGTGCTCTCTCTCTCCGCCAGAGGACGAGCAGCGGGAGAAGTCCGTCTCCCACCAGACGGTGCAGCAGCTGGTGCTGGAGAAGGAGCAGGCCCTGGCCGACCTGAACTCCGTGGAGAAGTCCCTGGCCGACCTCTTCCGGAGATACGAGAAGATGAAGGAGGTGCTGGAGGGCTTCCGCAAGGTGCGTGTGCGGTCGGGGAGGGGGGGCGGGGGAGTCGGATTGGCCGTCTGAGTTACACCCTCGTCAGAGTTCCTGGGGTTCCCAGCGGCATCTCCTCCGTGGGCTCGAGATGGAACCAGGCTCAGAGAGGGTGTGTCACTTGCCCCAGGTCACACAGCTAGAGCTGGGATGTAGATAGATTATTTGGCTCCCAGTCATTTCTCAGGGGGACCCACAGGCCTGAAGGACCTCCTGTCCCTTAAAATGCCGTGCCCGCCCAGCCGGCGTGGCTCAGCGGCTGAGCGTCGGCCTCTGTCGCGGCAGAATGAAGAGGTGCTGAAGAAGTGCGCCCAGGAGTACCTGTCCCGCGTGAAGAAGGAGGAGCAGAGGTACCAGGCCCTGAAGGTGCACGCGGAGGAGAAGCTGGACAGGTAACGGGGGGCCCGACACGGGCCGGGTCGGGGTGCGTCGCTCAGCACAGTCCAGCATGGCTCGTGATAAGCTTGCACTCAGCGTGGGCTGTGAGAAGCTAAGGGTGCGTCCGGGCGCCCACCAAAGCCCCTCAGCTTCGGACAGCGGGGTTGGGATGGGGTGTCTCGTGGGCCCTGTGCTGGGCCTTTGTAGGTGGGAGCTGGAGCCAGACGGTCCCCCCACCCGGTTGGGAGGAGGGAGGGGGAGGCCGAGATGGGGGAGGGTGGTCGTCCTGAGTGCCCCCACCCCGCAGGGCCAACGCGGAGATTGCCCAGGTCCGGGGCAAGGCCCAGCAGGAGCAGGCCGCCTACCAGGCCAGCCTGCGGAAGGAGCAGCTGCGGGTGGACGCCCTGGAGCGGACGCTGGAGCAGAAGGTACCAGGCCGGGGGCGTGGCCTCCAGCGGGCAGGCCGGGGTCACTGGGCTGAGGAACTGTCCGTTTTCAGCCTCATTTAATTATCGGAAAGAGAGGTCATCATCCACCTCTTAGAGAGGGAACCAGGCTCACCAGGCTCAGAGAGGGTGTGTCTTTTGCCCAAGGCCACACAGCTAGAGCCGGATGTAGAAAACTGGGCTCTAACTCATTTCTCAGGGGGACCAAGAGGTTGGAAGGTCCCTTAAAATCCAATGACCGCCCGGCCGGGGGCTCAGGGGTTGAGCATCGACCTGTGAACCAGGAGGTCGCGGTTGGATTCCCGGTCAGGCACATGCCCAGGTTGTGGGCTCCATCCCCAGTGCGGGGCGTGCAGGAGGCAGCCGATCCATGATTCTCTCTCATCATGATGGATGTTTCTCTCTCTCCCTCTCCCTTCCTCTCTGAAACCAATAAAAACTTTTTTTTTAATCTAATGACCATTCTGCTTGGCTTGACTTCAAACAACCAAGAGGTTTCAGCAACCTTTTTATTTTCCGTCTTCACTTGCAGAATAAAGAGATCGAAGAACTCACCAAGATTTGCGATGAACTGATTGCCAAAATGGGGAAAAGCTAACTTTGACCCAAACGTTTGGACTTGACCGTTGCGTGCAATATGCCCGTCGGCACCCTGCTGTGCTCCCAGGCCGGGGACAGGCGCTCCCGCCGCCGCGTACGCACCGCCGTTCCCTCGCTCGGCCCCGGGGACGTGGTCGGCCGCAGGGCGAAGGGACCGGCGGAACTTCTTGCTGTGGGTTTGCGTTTTTCCCGGGATCGTTCATAGCAAGTTGACCTCAGAGTTCCCGCATCAGGGAGATTGTCCGAGTCTCTCACGGAGGACACGGCGCTGACCTTGGCCTTGCCCTTTGACCCTGAGCTCTTGGGTCTAACGTAAACACGTGCTGCTGCACAGGGACTCTTGCCTTAAGGAGTGTACACTTCACCTGCGTTTGCCGATTCGTTTTAATAAGAAAAGAACACGCATGTTTCGAATACAGTTCTCTATTGTAAATAAAAGATTTTTCTTTGGATCTTGGCAATGCCTGTGGTGAGGGTGGATTTCCTGGGGGGGGCCAAGCCTGCTGGCCTTGGTGCCGTCCTGTCAGGGTCCGCCTCTCGCTCCTCGTCCCCAGATTAGATGACGTCCTTCGATCGTGGCCGTGGTGGTGGCCGTGGTGGGGAGTGGGAGCCAAAGGGAGACGCTGACCTGCGGCTTCAGGAACTCGGCGACGTGTGGAATTGGCCTGGATGTTGTTCTCACGTGTCTCTGCTTTAGGGCCAAGGCCTCATGAGGGGCCGGAGGCTCCCAGCGCCGCGGCTGCTTTTCTCCTCCTTGAAAGTTACGTCCATTTTTAAAGTGGGAAGCCCGTTGCAAACAGCCTTCCTTCCGTTAAGGTTCTGCCAGAATGGAACCCCACACACCCAACACACACACCACACACACCCCCAACACACACACCACATGCACACACACCCAACACACACACACACACACACCCAACACCCAACACAACACACCCAACACACACCCTTTGGGGCATAGGCTCTGGCCCCTCCGGGTAAGGATGTGCCAGGGCCACACAGCAAAGCCAGCGGCATGGCTCTCAGTGATGCACAGCTCTCCCATTTTTATGTAAATCTTTTAATCAAACCACATCTGGATGCAGGCTGGGAGGGGCCAAGGGGCCAAGAGGCCGAGAACCTCCGGGCCAGCCCCTCCCTCCACAGAGGAGGCCGGAGGGGAGGGGGGGCAGGTTCCCACTGGCCGTTCTCGAGAACCTTCCAGGCCGCCCTGTGCTGTGAGGGGTTGGGCACCACAGAAAAGTGGGGTGACCCGACCGCCCCCCTAAGGAGGGAGGCTGAGGGGGGTGCCTGACCCCAGTGCGTGGCCGTGGTGGCTCTGAGGTGCGGGCAGCTGTGCGGAGACCAGGCCGGAACAGGAACTCTCGGAATGTCTGAGTCGCCACGGCACCCACAGCACCCAGGAAGCCGAGGGCAGCACCCGCCGGAGCACGCGGTCCCGCAGGGAAAACAGCCAGCCGGGCGCCCGGTGCCCGGTGCCCTGAGTGCGCTTGGACCCAGCCTCGGGGGGTGGACAGCCCGCGACTCGGCCGATGCAGTGAGAGCGCCTCCGACGGACACGGACGAGCCCCCCTGTGGACGCACGCGGAGCAGTGAGTGTGGCTGCTCCTCTCCAGCCCCAGAGCCCTCACTGCTCCCACTGGCGCTGTTTGGGGGGCCTGGGGGGCCCAGGCCGGAGGCAGAGGGGCTGGGAGCCCAGGGGCCATCGCACTTAGCGAGTCTGTGATCGGCTGGTTCCATCCTCGGGAAAAGGGAAGAACCTGGTTGTCTTTGCTTTGCTTTCTCGGAGCCCCTGTCCCTGCAGAGAACTCAGACCTTTCACGGACCAGCCCGGCCGGCCGGCTCCGGGGTCCAGCTCGACCTGTGAGCCAGGTCACAGTTAGATTCCCGTCAGGGCACAGGCCCGGGCTGCGGGCTGGATCCCAGTGGGGGGCGTGCAGGAGGCGGCCGGTCCATGATTCTTGCTCATCAATGATGTTTCTACCTCCATCCCTCTCCCTTCCTCTCTGAAAGCAAGAAAAATATATTTTTTATAAAAGAAAGAAAGTGGAAACTTGGCCTGTTGTGTCTTCCAGGTGGTGCTCTCCCTTCCTGCCCCC